AGTGATGGGTTTCTATAGCAACTGGCTGGCAAAGCCAGGGGTGGGGGGACCTGCCCTGTGCCCCCAGCTTTTACCTAGTTGGGTTGGTTTTTTTGTCAAGTGGACCCTTCTTTCATGATTTCCCTCTCTTTTTTGTGTTGCTGCTGTTGAAATACTTTCTGTGGTCTCTAAGTTAAGTCCTCTCCTGAGATCAGGACAAAACTGAGCCTAGAAATGCTCTCCTGGACTAACTTACTGCCCTGACCCCTCCTGCCCTGCTCTCCCTGCTGCTTTTCCATTCCCTGCTCTTCCCATCACAGGGATCTGTGGGGATACAACCTCTCTCTTCAAATCCCAGACTGGTTTGGGTTGGGAGGGACCTCAGAGCCGCCCCAGTGCCCCCCATCCATGGCAGGGACACCTCCCCCTGTCCCAGCTGCTCCCAATGTCCAGTGATCCCTTGGGCACTGCCAGGGATCCAGGGACAGCCCCAGCTTCCCTGGATAGCCCATCCCAATGCCTGACCACCCCTGTGGGCATCTCCCATGCTGCTTTTAAATAATCCCAGGGATCATTTTGTCTTCTCTTGCTTGAAACCTAAAAAAGATTTAAAAATTGCTTTAATTCATCTGCAAAGCGACTGCTTCAAATTAAATCCTGTGATAAACCCAAAGGAAGTGTAACTGAGAAGAGACAGGAGGAGCTCACCTGGAATTCCCTGGGATGGTGCTGCCATTACTCCTGTGCCACCCCAAATGTCCCCCTGGCACTGGGGCAGTTGTTGCTGCTCTTGTCAACCTTTCAAATGTGTCTTTCCCCTTCTGGGTGAGTCCAAGGTCTCACCCATAGCAATGAGAAAATTCAGCTCAGCCCTAGGAGCTGAGGAGAACTGTCCTGACCTGTGCTCCCAGAGGGGCTGCTCAGGGAAGGTGTCTCTGCTGGGGATTGCAGAGAGCACAGCCTGGCTCTGGTGAGCTGCTTGACCATGAAATTCTCCATGAAGTGGGGATCTATTGTTTATCATGCTAATTAGTATCCCCACGAGTTTATTTAAAGGTCACTGGGAAGCCATGAGAAATATCTTAGATGTGAAAAGAAGAAAAGTCAAGAAGCCACAGGGGGTTTGGGTTATTTAGTAGAATGTTATTGCTAATATTTAAGATACTTTCTGAGATGTGCATTAAATTAATAAGGAAGATGAAGGAGTGTTTTAATATAACTTAGTGTGAAAGTAGCCCTCAGAATTTATTTTATTCATAGATTTTTGCATCAAAGGTCCTATAATGATTAATTTTCAAACTTACAGGTTTAAACAGCAAAATAAGAAATAATAGCTCTGAAGTTGCTTTGAAATACTTAATAAAATGGTGTTCTTTAAAGCACTAAATGGCCTCCTAATGCCACTAGCACTTCAAAGAACAGCATTTGCAATATTTCTATTCAGTTTTCTGCACTCTGCAAAGCTGACTCACTGTATAGGGCATGGAAATATTTTCAGATGGGCAAAATGAAGGTATTGTTATATCCCAACAAAAGCCTGGGCTGCAAACCTGCACTGAGTGCTCGTTAGGGCAGGAGTTGATGGTGCAGAAGTTCCTCGGCCTTTTAGATTCCAGGATAAACTCAAAATACAATCAGTTGGAAAGGGATATTGCTATTCCCAGTGTGGGGCTGCTGCAGAGGCACAGAGGGACTGACACAGCCCCAAATCCAAATGCTTTCTGTAGGAAAATTCATGTCTTTCCATGGACAAAAAACATCTTCACCTCAAACCCAAAGGGTGTAAAATCAGAGGTTCCAGCCTGGAGAGGGCCTGAGTTTCCCTTTAAAGGGTATTGGAGGGAGAGAAATTCCTCCTGGGATGCTCCAGGGATAAGAGAGAAATTCCTCCTTAAATACCCTAAAAAAAGAGCAGGATTTGTCCCTTTGCAGCTCTGGGGGGGCAGAGGGCAGCTGGGATCCAGGCTGGAATCCTTACAGGAGGGCTCCTAATTGTAAATTCAAGCATGCAGAGGATTAATTGCCAGCAGGTGTCAAAGATAAGAAATTCCTCTCTGATCTGGGCAGGGGGTAACTCTGAGTATTTCCCTGTATTGTTCTGTTCTTACCATTGTTCAGGGGGACAGAAAATGAAAATCTACGTGAGGAAATGGGAGAAATAATTTTGCTGCTGCCAGAAAAGGAGAAAACAAAGCTCAAGGCTTCAAAGGGGAGAAATTGTTAATTAGGAAATTACTGCTTGGAAAAAAAAAATATAAATGGGGAGGTCAGGGAGTTGTGAAAAGGCAGCCTGTAGGTTCATGACCTGCCCTGAGCCAAGGGTTACACACAGCCCACCCCAGCAATTTACTCGGGCTCCTTCCTCCTCCCCTTGTGGGAAAATGAGTGGGTTTAGCAATTAGTGGAGCTGCTGATTGACTCCTGGCCAGGAGCTCCAGCCCCAGCTCCTCACCCCCTGCTTTGGGGCTGCCCTTGTCCCTCCAGCCCCCAGCACAGGCTCGGCCTGGGAGGTCCTGCCACCAGCTCTGCTCCTCAGGAGAAGGTGCAGAGCCTGCCCCAGCCTTTAATGAGGGGCTGGTCCCTGTGGAGAGCAAGCGGAGCAGGAAAAGGAAGGAAGGCCTTGAAAGGTGATTTCCTACAGCCCCCAAGGCTCAGATTGTCTGGTTTTGTTGTCGTGGCAGGGAAAGCGATTCCTGTTGATAGGAGCAGGGCATGAACCTGAGTGCAGGACCTGGCTGTCCATGGGGTGTCCTGGACATCCATGGAGGGAATTTCTGCTGAGAAGCAGCACTCTGCAAATGCAGGCTTTTCTCTGCTCTCCATCCACACAAACAAACCCTGAGAAGGTCACTGATGAGTTAGCCCCAGGTATGGAGCTGTGTCAGGGGAGGGTCAGGCTGGAGAGCAGGAAAAGGTCAGGAAAAGGAGAGTGCTGGGGATGGCCAGGCTCCCCAGGGAATGGGCACAGCCCCGGGGCTGCCAGAGCTCCAGGAGTGCTTGGACACCCCTGCCAGGGATGCCCAGGGTGGGGTTGTTGGGGGCCTGTGCAGGAGTTGGACTCGATGGTGCTTGTGGGTCCCTGTGTGAAAAATGATGTTCACTTTCCTGGTAAATATTAAAAAGTTTAATAAAAAAGTCAGTAGGAGGCAAAGACAATAAAGCAAAGGGTTAAAACAGCCGGGTGCTTGGTTCTCTGCCAAGAGCACCCCTGGTGTTTTGGAAATACCCTTTATATTCCATAATATCACCTGATGCATATTCATAGACTTTATGCTCATTCAAGCTTTTCCATTGACTACTTTACATTTCCCAGCACATTTAGCACGGCCATTCCTTGGCTCCACCTGTTTAGAGCATTTGTGTGTCTTGGCTTGTGGCTTTAATTCTCTTCTTATCACCTTTTAATTTGGGCCTTGGCTGGGTCTTTCCAGGGGTGCTGAGTGTTGATAGCAGCAGGGTCCCCATCATCTGTTCACTGCAGTTATCCCAACTGAGCAGGCACTTCAAATGTGCTGTACTGACTGTCCCAGCAAAGCCATTTTAACATTATACATGTAGCACTCACCTGGATATTTGTGAAAAGCCAGTATTATATTGTGTGTCTATAAAACCTTCCAGCTCACCATATTCCCTGATTCTCTGAAGGAACTCACCAGTCTGATACTGCTTTGGATCAGCATCACAACAGGAACAGCCAAGTTAGGAATGGATTAAAATCCCAGAATGGTTTGGGTTGGAAGGACCTTAAAGATCATCTCATTCCAGCCCCCTGCCACAGCTCTTGCAGATCTTTAGGACACACAAAATGTGTCATTTCAATCATCATTTCATATGTGACAGAAAAGCCATGGCTCCCCTGTAATGAAGCGAGGCAGGGCATGAAATAATTAACTGCAGATAGAAAGAATTAATTCCAGGTAGGTGCCACAGGTAGTGGCTGCTCCAGAGGCCTGGGGGTGTCTGAGGCAGTGATGGAGCCCTGAGATGTGCTTTGCTGCATAAGTCACAGACCAACGTGGCTTTGGGGGGTTTGCCATCACCCTCAGCAGGGTACAAGAGTTATTTGGGGTCCTCTCTGCAGCGTTTCCATGGGTGAAAGTGGCCAGTGGGCCTTGGGGGTTTATGTAAAAGAGAAGCGTTGCTGCAGCCTCGTGTGCCTCCGCGAGCAGAAGGCTCCCGGCCTACGCACCCCGTAAAAAAGCCAAGGTTTGGGATTAAATTAGCACCCAGCTCTTTGCCAAAGCAAACAGGAGGAGCAAAGTGTGAGTTTGGGAGTGCCTGAGCTCCCCACAGGCCCCAGGGCTGGACGTTCACCCCGAGCAGGAAACACACACACTTCACCTCTGAGCTCTGAACACCCAGCCAAGAGAGATCCCGCTGCTCTCTGCACCCCTCCTGCTGGGGCTGTGCATCCTTGTGGATTTACAACACAGAAACAACACTGAAATGCCATTCCATGGCACTCTCCAGCCTCCCTTCCTCCTGTAAATATCACTGTCAGCTTAGGAAAAGTCATTAGCAATGAGGCCATTGAGTCCCAAGATATGAAGAACGGTTTTTAATTCCTTTCATTGCACTAAACAAATTTCTTAGGGATTTTATGGAAATCTTTGCATTTGGATTTCAAGCCTGAAGTAATTAAGGAAGAATTCCAGATTGATGCAATGTGGTTTTTCTTTACTTCTCTAGGAGAAGGGTGCTCTGAGGAGCCACTGTCGTGAACAAGTGTGAGGAGCAAGTCCTCTGCTCAGTCTCCACATCCGTTTTGGACCATGCTGGGGAAATAAAAGAGAGTGGGATTAAGTGTAGAGGGAGCTCTGGTGGGCATTTTGGATTTTGACAGCTGTCCTTGACATCATAATGGACAAGGGGAATGGCTTTAAACTGCCAGAGGGCAGGGAGAGATGGGATATGGGGAAGGAATTCTTCCCTGTGAGGGTGGGGAGAGGTGCCAGAATGGAAGTGTCCAAGGCCAGGCTGGACAGGACTTGGAGCAGCCTGGGACAGTGAAATGTGTCCCTGCCCTTGGCAGAGGGTGGAACAAAATGAGCTTTAAGGTCTTTTCCAGCCCAAACCATTCTGGGATTTTTGCTCATGCTTGTCCATCCTCCCTGAGCCCAACCAGGTAATTCCTGTAGTGCAAAGCTTGTAGAGTTCATTTTCCTGAGTAGAAGAGGCGGCTTCCCATCTGCAAAGGTTTCTTTTCCTTTCTTGCTGCAAGAGGAGAGTGCACTCAAGCAGAATTTGAAGCCAGTGGCAGAAAATAAGGCAGGGAGAGCACGAGGCAAACTGGAGGGACTGTGCAGGTGTGAGGAGTGGATGGAATAGTAATGAGGGAGTCAGAGAAAGGACTGGGAATATGTAACACTGAAGAGTAAAAGATGAGCAAAGCAAAGTGTCCAGAGCTGACAGTATCCCAGCAACAATAAATTCTGTGTGTGATAGCGCTGGATGAGAGAGCTGGGGACTGGCAGCTCTCTAATCTTCTGCCAAAATCCCTGCTCACCCCTTCCCCTGGCCAGGTCAGGGGGAAGGTGTGAAGCACTCCCAGGTTCGTGGGGCTTTGTGCAGCAGCTGCTCCAGGAACACCGTTCCCAGGATGGGAGCTGACACCCAGAGCTGGGATCAGCGTCAGGACTGAGAATTAACCTCACTCCCAGCTCAGGTGGAAGTGCTGACATTGCTGATGGGCAATTTTGGGGTTATGTTTCCTGCCCAGAGGTGATGCTGGCCTCAGCCCATCTGCTCCCAAGGAAAAGGAATGGCTGGTTGCCACAGGGATCAGTTTATCAATGTAACAGGGCCTCTGTGGAGCCAAATAAATGAGAATTTCCTGTGGGTGAGCATCTGAGTGGCAGTAAATGCTATCAAAGAGAAGATCTGCACATTTTTTTGAGGAAGAGGAGACAGGAGGCTCACACAGGTGGACTTAGGCAAGCTGCCAGTGCCAGGAAAGAAAGTGATAAATAGATGTCTTGGAAAAGCCTGAATGGAGGAATAATAACCATGAACAGCAGAAGACACTGAACGAGATGGATTCTCACCTCTAGAAGCTTCCTATGTTTATTATTGATGGCACTGCAGGTTTTATTTCTTTGCTTTTTGTACTTTTCAGTACAATCTGGTTAGGAATTCAACGTGCCAAGGCAGGTGATGGAAGGATTCTGGAAGGAAAGTGAAAAATGGCATAAATGAGCTGCAACAACAGCCCTGCTCTGGCAAGGAGTACAAGGAGCTGGAGTAATCCTAAATGACAAAGGCTTTGTTTTCATATAAACCACTAAAACATCGTGGAAAGAGTCTCAGGACAGGGTAAATCTCTGTTTCCATGGCATTTCTAGTTAATTGACCTTTTTTTCCATTTCTCTAATATCCTAGACCTGATTTTAAAGGTAACTGAACACCAAGAGGTTTGGATTAGCACACAAAAAATTCCCTGCTCCCCTCTTCAAACTCTTCTCTCCCTTCAAACTCTTGTACATCTTTTAAATTGGGAAATCCTGTCCTGCATCCCCTGGTGAGGGCTGCTGAAGTGGGTGCAGTGGGATCTCACACGGAGAGGGAGGCAATGTGCTGCTGAGTAATGGCGAATTTTTCAGGAAATGAATAATTTTGAGACTTTCTAAAGGTCACTGTAAGTTCCCCATAACTTTTATAGTCGGTTATATAAAATGAAAAGGGAGAACTCTTAGTCTAGATAGGTGTCAGTTGGGTGAGATAACCTGAGAAAGGCTCTGGCAGGTCAAAGCACTTCAGTGACGGTTTTTGGGAAGAGACCAGTCAGAGCTGCCTCCCCTGGTGGGTGTCTGAAATGGAAATTCCAGCTCTCCCTCTTGCAGCACATTTAAGTGGAAGTTCACTGCCCTGGTGGGCACCTGGATTTGAGAAGTGACCTCTGAGAAGTGGCTGAGCCAGCCTTTTGTCTCCACTTCTATCAATTAAAGCCCAGACAGGGTCAGCTGGAGAGGCAGAAGGCAGGAGTGGAAAAGACAGACTGACACGTGCCCCTGTTCTTCCAGGATCTCCTCGGGGGCTGCTCTGGGTGCCTCTGGCTCAGGGTTTGGAGAGGGGGAGTTGTGCTGCTCCTGCTGCCTTTGGGTGCAGGACCAGGTGTGGAGCCCCAGCTGAGCTCGCTGGGCTGGGACAGGGAGACTCCCAGGGTGGAGAAGGTTTTGTCTGCAGGGGGAACGTGCTGCAGCTGCAGGTTTGCAGCTCAGGAGCACTGGCAGAGCCCTGGTGGCAATGCCAGCCCAGCCTGGCAGAGCCCAGCTCCTGCAGACATCACAGATACTGCACAAAGCATTCCATGGGGAACCATGCACACCTGAACTCCTGCACTGCCAAACACTGCAGTTCAAAGCAGCAGAATGATGTTTCCCTCTGTTACAATAATTCCAGTTCCAGGTATGTAGAATTTTTCTCCTAATTCTGCTCCGAATCGGCACTGGGTGATTGCCAGCAATGAGAAATGGATTGGCTTTTCCACGGTGCTGTGCTCCAGGTCAGCTCAAACCACGGGAAATGGCAGGTTAATGGCAGGTTAACACCAATTAACAGGCCACTTTATAAAAGATTAGCATTCGGAGTCTGTTCAGTGGGTAATTACAATAATTAACTGGCGGAGCTTGCCCGCACTAGTGAACAGGAATTGGGTGCCTCTGCTCACCCTGGAGAAGGCAATGCAGGAGCAGACATGGATCATTTGGAGTGCTGGAGCCAGGCAGGATGGCAAGGACACTAAATCTGGGCTTGCTCTTGAAATGTGCTCACAGGTGACATCCCAGGTGGAGGAGACTCTGTCAGTGACTATTTCAGTCCTGGCTGAGCACAGCTGAGATTTACTGTCCTGCTGGGAGAGGCACCTGTGCTGCAGAGCAGCCTCTGCATCCCTGGCCTCCAGCAGATGGATTGCCAACCTTCTTGGGCAGGTTCTGGTCAGCATTCAGCACTTGGAGCCCCTCAGATTCCCAAATAAATCCCTCCCTGCCGGCAGCACTGATGGTGAGGAGTGCTTGCTAAGGGGCAACCCCATCCTGGTGCTCAAAAGAGCTCAGCATCCAGCAGGATGGTGTCCCAAATTCTTTGGGAAAGCTCTGAATCCTTCAGGAGATGGTTTCCTGTGGGGCTGGGATCAGGCCATGGAGGCAGTAGGATGGACACGTTGTCCTGTTGGGTTAAAGGTTGTAAAATCACCTTTGTAATTCTGCAGCTCCTGGTGAGTTGATGCATCTCATTTAATTTCATTGACCTTATCTCTTAAATACTGTGAAATCTGCTGAGAAATGCTAAAGGTGAGCTTTGAGTTCACCTTTAGTGAGTTGTGGTTACTTTTTAAATATTCAGGCAGTGGACAGAGCTCACACAGCAAACGTAGCCCGTGTGTGTATGGCTTCACTCCTGCATTAATTAAAGAAATTAATAAAACCACTGGGTCGTGAGGCACCAACCCTGGGGAGCCACAGTCCAAATCCCACTTCTTCTGGGGGATGGATTCCTGTTCCATTCAGGAGCCAGGATCTGTTCTGGCAGTGGGCAACAAGAGGTTCCAAATCAGAACTGGGATTTTAAGGTAGAATTGTGTTGCTCAGATTGTGTGGTTGGGTTTTTGTCATCCAGGTGCAGCGATGGGCCGGGCCAAAAGCAATTTGGGGAAAAGGAATTCGACAGAAAAATGGGAATACTTGGTAAAGCTGCAGAAGGGTTCAAAATTCCTCAGTCCAGGGAGAGAGCTGCTGCTCTGGGAAACCTCAGTCTTGTTCAGAAAATTAGAAATTTATTTCTAAACATGAATAGGAACTTGTTTTTCCTTCTCCTGCCTGTTCCAGGACCTTCCCTTGCTGCTCAACAGAAGGGGAACCCTTTGCAGAGCCTCTTCAAACCCCAATAAATCCTGCAAGGCACTCTGGGGGTGTGGAGCAGCTGTTTGACAGCACAGCTGTCGCTCACTCCTGACTTTTTTAGAGCCAGTCTCTCTCTGTGGTTGTTTCAAAGAACATTTCCTATCCCTGAGGTGCCCTGGGTGAGCTGGAGATGTCTCCTGCCCTCAGCATCACTGGGTCCTGGGGAGGAGCTGCTGCTCTGGGACCCTGGGGTGTCCCTGGTGGAGGAGGGTTTGAGGGGCTGGAAAAAGAGCCAGTTTTAGCTGTTTTCAGCACCAAGATGGATCTTGGGCACTGGGGTGAGGAAGCAGTTCATGAAACATTTGTGAGGCATCAGCACTTCCCAGAGGAGCAGGGCAGGCCCTGGTGCAGGTGAGCAAAGGTGCCACAGGTCAGACATTGACCTTTAATAACCAATAATTCGTGTGCTGCTGGCACAGATCAAACATTCCAGTGGCTTTGGGGAGCTGTCCCAGGGGGTGTAACAGGACATCACACCTCGGACCTCTGAGCCCTGGCTGTGATGAAAATCTGCAGACAAAACTCCCCAACAAATGTCTTCATAATACTTAACATTCAACAGAGCAAAAGGAGAATAATGAGCACTGCAGCCATCCCAGGTTAGTAATTACTGCCGTCATTATTAATTTTCCAGAGCAATCTCGTCAAATGAGTCATTATTATCTCAATTCCTTAGCCAGGACTGATTGATTCTTTCTCCCTGTTGTGACTAATTCCATATAATGTCCAAGTACAATATAGAGCTATAGAGCCAGTGTCATTCTAAGGCAGGATAATTCAAAATAACCGAGCCCCTTGTTTAGATCTGATGCTTTATAGTGTTTAATTGAAATAAATACCCTGATCCTGTCAATCCCAACTCTCCACAGCCACTGGAATTCCACTGGAGACAGGGATTCCTGTCAGCCTGGGATCTGCCCTGTGTTTTCCAGTGTTGGATCTGTGCTGGCACCAAGCAGGAGCTTCTCAGCACTCACAGGAGCAGCGTGGCGTGGTCTGAAGGGAGTGTTTGTCACCCTCAGCTCTTCCTAATGTTAATTTTGGCCATTTTTAAGGAAGGTTTTGTTGGCTTGTGTGGCTGTGCAGGGTTTTGTTTTGGAGGAGAGGCTGAAAGTGATGTTTCTTTAGCTCTGTCCATTGTTTCTGTCTGCAGCTGAGTGTCAGGACAAGGCGAGGGGTGGGAATGTGGCTCCTCTGGAAAGGGTGAGGCACAACAATTACCTTCCTTCAGAGGAGCTGGAAACCCACTCCTTGCCTTTCCCTGGAGCTGCAGGGAAGGGAAGGAGGAGGAGACCACAGTTATTTTACAGCTTTGACCTTTTGGTCTCCCAGACTTCAAACACGATCAGACTGGAGAGGGAAAGGAGGAGGCTGCAAACCAGGAGGGGTTCCAGGGGAACCCCCAGCACTGGAACATTTCAGACCAGGAAGATGTGATGGTTTAATCCTGAACCACGGGGAGGGGTGAGGCACTGCCTGTCCCTGCCCTCAGCCTTGGCTTTGCCTCCCTAAATCCAGCCCTTCCCCAGCAGCAGATCCTCCTGCCAGCAGGGATTGTGTCTGTGCTGACATTTAAGGGTATTGGTGTAGCTTGCTCTGGATTGGATTGAATTGGATTGGGGGAATTAAAAATATTGAATTGGACAGTAAATAAAGGAGGAGAGGTCATTGCCATCCAGCACTCCTTGACTGCTGGTTATTTATTGAGGCAGTTCCACTTGAGTCCATTAGTGCTGAATTCCAAATTCATTTGGTGGCCCCTGGAAGCAGAACTTGGCTGAGAACACTTTTCCCTGGTGGGTGTCTGGAATCCAGAGGGGTTCTGTGCTGCAGCAGGGGTTGATGGTGTCCGTGGCATTCAGCCAGCCCTGTGTCACCACCTCCCCTCAGGGCTGTGTCCTGCCCTGTCCCTCAAGGTGTTAAAATCCCACGATTTCCAGATTCTAACAGGAACACCCCAGAACACTGTGCCACCTCCTTGGAGGTGTGTCTCTGCTGCAAATTCCTGCTTTTTCTGATGTTCCTCCCTGCGTTCAGCCAGCAAGAACAAACCAAGAGGATCATTTTACTTAATATTTCTCTTATTTACAGTAAAAACAACACCCTGTTTATCGTTATTGATTAGATATTTACTAGGCTTGGGATGCTGAGATGAAAGCAAACCTTGGACTGGTGGGAGGGTCCTTTTGGGCACGTGGAGCCCCGTGCTGGGCCCAGAGCTGGTGACACAGCCCCAGAGCAGGAGCTGAGCCATGTCCAAACCCTCCCTGCACCCAGGGGTGTGACCAGCTCAGATGGAATCCATGGAAAACAGCCTAAGGGATGGATTTATAGGAAGAACAAGCTGAGGTTTGGATTGGTACAACTGCCCACCCCTCCCCCTGGTTCTGGTATTACAACAATTG